GGAGGCCACACACTGCTGAGCCTCATTCTGACGGGTCTGGAGGAGTTTCCACTGAAGCTGGATCAGCCTGTCATGTGATTTCACACTTTTATTTTGAGTATGAGTCCACATCCAGACCTCCATGGGACAATAATTCAGATGTACGTTGATCATGTTTATGTTGTTTTGTTCTCAACACATTCCACCATGTGAGGAATGAAGATTCTCAGCTGGAATGTTTCATTCACTGAGATCCAGGACGTGTTATTTTAGTGTTCCCTTTATGTTTTTGAGCAGTGTATCCCGTTGCCATGGTTTAGTTGCTGATGCAGAAATCCCATAAACATGTTTTAATGTTAGGTTCTGATCTGCTGTCAGGTCCGTTTCCTCTGCTGCTGCTGCAGCTGATAGAACGGATCAGAACATGGATCATTCTGCTGGTATTGATCACAGAGAACATCCAATCAGTAACATTCATTCACTCTGATTGGGTTAAAAGTTAAAGTGACTTCCTGCATTCTGGGACAGAGTCAGACCTGAATGAGCTTCATATATGTAAACATTGTGTTGGACTGAAGTTTAACATCTTTACTGCGCAGCTGTCAGTTACCAATAATCAGCTGCATTGATCTGTGACGTGTATTTTTCCATTCCTGTCTCCGTTTACAGCAGCGCCACTTTTTACCGTCATCATGTTGATGTTCTCCATTAAAACAAGGAGCTGACTGAAGCAGCTGCTCGTGATCGATTCATTCAGCGCAGAAGAAGAGTCACGTGACGCCTTAACGCCTCCTTTAATGACAACAGAGTCTGAAGCAGGAAACTGAACCTCCTTCATGATACCTGTGGTCTCTGACTGGGTTTTAGGTTTTGTTGAGCCGACGTAAGAAAGTCTGGCTATGTCAAACTTGCTTTGTAGTTCGGCCCTCTGGTTTTTGTTAGAGAAAAAAAACAACTTTTCCTATCGATCCAAAACACTGCCTCCAGCATAAGATAACACAAGGGATGTGGATTGATTTCCCTACAGCTGGATTTTTATTGTTGACAGGATGTGAACACAGATTATGAGGTTAGAAAGCAGAACAAGCTCACAGGTTTCTCCTGCAGCTGTAGACCTTCCACTGTTTTCTCCCACAATCCTTGACATACAAATCACATCAGAGGCATACAGTAGTTGACCGATTTCAGATAGCTTCAATAAATTAATCTCTATGTATGTAGACTGTGTTGAGGTGTATCAATGTGAGTAGGCCAATAAATGTACATGTATTTAAACTTATGGATTGGGGCAGCTGCAGGGTAAGCTCGACAGTTCAAGCACATCATACAAAAGGTGATGTTAAACTCAACACCCCAAGGAAGCCCTGTTAGGTGAACTGCAGCTGCTGCATAAACCCTGCAGCTAAACAGAATCCGACAGTAAAGACTGAAAGAAATGCTAACAGTGTTTATCATATCCTAAATGTCTATGCACCAACCAGGTAAATCTGTCACCCTGTGTGAGGACAGTGGGAACAGAGCAGCGCCTCCAGCCAGAGACATGTCTCCTGTAAGATCATTTGGTTTTTGCATAGTTCTTGTGTTGCTTTGACCCAAGTGAGCCTTCCATTCATACTGAATTGCTCAACAGTATTCCATTTAAATATCATATTAAGAACAACTTGTCAAATATATACGTTGGGGTTTGCAGCTGAAGGGATATCAAGTGTCACAAAGCTCCAGACGTCTTGTCCGGTGGCAGCACAGGTAGAGGAGGTGTTTCATTGTCCAGAGGTCCGTGTTCTCACTGGTCAGTGGGAGCCGCCCGTCTCTGCTGGAACACCTCCAGCTCCTGCTTGTACCAATCAGGAGCCTCCGGCCCGTTCTTTCCTGTTGGCTCGTGATCATAGCCGTAGGCTACCGTTAGCTCCTCATCCTTCTGCACAGCCCTCAAGGTTCGGATGCACTTGATCTGGCCAAACCGTGGATGGACAAACCTGCAAAAACCAAGGACATAAACATTGGAATTTAATTTGCATTGCTCATGAGAAATGGTCTAAAGTGTAACGCTACGCACTGTTCCATCTTTACCTTGGTTTGGGGGTCACAGAACAGTACATTTTTGGCGCAGCAGAGACACCAAGACAGAGGCAACATGTTCATTAGTAATGGTCTGCTAGCTTTAAGGCTAATCTCGCTACAACGCTATAGCTCACAGACAGTAATCTGTCTGGCTGAGGAGCTACGTCCAGTCTACGGAGGAGTGTTCAGCTGCCATCCTGGTTGTTGTCTACATCTGCTGTCTGCTAATCTGGTGACCGGACCTGTTCCTGTTCAGCAATGTCTCTGCACAGATGGTTAAAGTCACTTAGATTGTGATATCATGAGCGACAGCTAACAGCCGACATGCAGGTTAAACGGACCTACACTGTCCAATGCAGTGTTCCTATATGGCGTGTGCTGTGCAGTGTCATTACTGTGTGACAACTCTGCCACCTCCCATTCATTTCCTGTTTTACTCATTTTTACTTTCAGTAATAAAATTGATTCATTTTTCTCAACGTACTACATTTCTCATTTTATGTAATTTTGTTTTCTGAGCAATATGTGGCAAAAGAACTTCCTTCAGGATTGATGACGTTTCATCGTAACCGTACATGCACACTTTGCTGGTAGAGCGAGGACTACGAGGGACTGGTCATCCAGACTTCACGCTTCACTGCTGTTGGCCAGAGGTCAGTGTTTGTTATGGCCAATATGATTATTAGCAATCAGGAATATTAGAACAACATCCATGTGCAGTGAAACTGTGAATCCCAGTGTAGGACCTCCATATGTTCAGTGGAGAACTGCAGAGCAACAGCAGTGCCGTTATTTAGATTAACTGAAAATCATTCAAAAAAAGGTTCTGACAATCAGAAAAATGCTGAATGAAACGTCACCACACTGACAGTCAGTCGACCCCTGACCTAGAAATACAAAGAGAAATATATACAACAATAAAAATAAGTCATTTATTTATTTGTTTTTATTTTTAAATTTAATTTTATTTCTTCTTATTTATTTTTTATTTTCATTTTTTATTTATTATTAATTTTCATTTATTTTCCTTTTAATTATTTGTTTATAATGTCGCTTTAAAATCAACGGCACGACGACGTTCCTACTGCACACATTTTTCTGTGCATAGCTTCTTTGCTTTTAAAGTGACATTTAAAAAACGCTTTAAAAGCAACAAAAGAAAAAAGAAAACACATTTTTAAAAAAATAATCTAAAAATAATAAAATAAAAAAAATTACTAAAAAAAATTAATTAAAATTAAAAATATAATTTAAATAAATAAAGTAAACAAGCAAAAAAATGACAAATAATTTTTAATTATTTTTTAATTATTTTATTTATTTGTCTCTATATTTCTACTTTTATTAGCCTTTCCTTTTATGGATTCAGTTTTGATTAATATTGCTTTATATTGCCAAATTACTTCTTTTTATTTCCACTTTATTTTTTTATTCTTTCATTGATTTATTTTTGTAATATATCTCCCAGACCACTAACCCATACATAAAGTCTGATTTCTTAGCATATCAACAGGAGGCCTTTTCTTGTTGTTCAGTTCTGCTTCTGATCAGCTGCTCAGCCTGCTGCCGCCATGTTGGACTCACGGCTCGTATCTGCAGTTGGGGCTGAACGAGTGGTTCGCCTTGTGGCCCAGAGATGCACAGTATGTGTCTGTCTGGTCGAACGGCTGAGGGACGTCGATCACAGTCTCTTCATCCAGGGAGATGGTGTTTCCGTTCAGGGCCCAGTCTCGGCTGTCCACCTGAGTCCATGAACAGAACACGCATGGTTTTAATTGGTACACATACCGGCTGTAAGGTAGTTAAAGGGAACTCTACTCTGAACCAGAACCCTTCAGCTTCAACAAACCGCAGAAACCGTGGAGACGCCACATGTGTTCCTCCACACTAACAGCCAGCCAGCATCACTGGGAGTTCTGGTGACTGGCGGCCTGGTCTGGACTTGGTGGGAGTGGCTCCTTTGCAGGCTGCAGCTGGTCGAAGTGTTTATCCACTTGGAATGAAGCCTGTGTCCTGACTTTGTTGTTAAAGCTCAGGTACATATTTAGATTCTTTCTATGAAATAATCCCTTCCTGCCTTAAACTGGTTTCCATGTAACACTGATCCTTCCTCTGCAGCATCTCCACCGGCAGCTTGTGACACTTCAGTCATTCAGCCAGACGTGTTTGAACCACATCTGAAAATGAACGCTGATGCAGGCCTGCTTTCCTGCTTCATACCTCAGAGTGTGTGATGCGTACGCCATTGTAGAAGGACATCACAGTGTCGGTCTCAGCGTCCGTCTTGGCGAACAGGCCCTGACCGGCTCCTCGGATCGTCGAGTCGGACACAAACACCCTGAGGATGGGATGGTGACAGTATGAGCTTCAATCTGAAGACATGAACACTGCTGCTTCATCAGTGTGTTGAAGTGACGTAGTCCACCCAGAGAGGTGTTCCTCACAGCGCCATGCAGAGCTACCATCCACACTACACACAGTGGTGCAGTAATGGAGCAGTGCTAGCAGCAGCTGATCACTCATCCAGCTGAGACGTTTATGGACAAACACTGGAGATGAACTACGGTGAGATCCCTCTATCATATCCTAGTGTGTCTCAGTCTGACCTAAACAGACGGGTGGTGTGGCTTTACAGAGACGTGACACGCCGTCCAATCAGACGTGATGCCAGCAGACCAGTGCAAAGGTGTGAAGGATGTCTTCTGACCTACCTTTGGCTCTCGTAGGGGTCAGGGAGCAGGATGTGGGTGGCGATACAGGTGGATGTCGACTTGTCATACGAGTACACTGGACCTGAAAAACACACGTTGTCCTGTTACTGTGCGGCTGTTAAGCACACGTCAGCACAGCAAGGATGAAGGGTTCATAATGCTAATAATAATAAAGGGTTAGGGTTAGAAAACACACCAACACATTCCAGTACAGCAGCTGAACTCCTGCTGCTGAGGACACAAACATCCGTGTGATTTCAGAGCATCTGTTGGGCCATCGTGTGGTGTGATTTACAGATGAACCGTGGAGCGCTGCTTTCAGCCTTTAGTCCACTGGTTCTACAGATGAGCTTCAGCTCGTCTGTACCTGAAACAACAACAGTCGTGTAACAGCTGCAGCTGTTTCAATCATGAGGCGGTTCTGACTGTAACCAGCTGGGGGCGTACGTTGTCTGACCGGCTGTTCACAGGAAGGAAAGTCACATGAACAGTCCGAACCACGGTGCATGATGGGAAGCCGGTTCACAGATGAAATCCTCTGAGGGACAGGAAGCAGTTTTTCTTCTATAGTTTTGGTGCTTCAGCAAATGTTTAAAGAATAAAGGCGACTGTGTCAGTGTCCCACATCTCAGCAGCCATGCCAACGGCACCGACTGAGTTTACTGAAGTCATTGTCCACGTCACCGTGGAAACAGCTGCATCTTCATTACGTGATTGTTTTTCAGTCTTCTTTGTGAGCAGCATGAAGGGACTACATCTCTGCAGCCGACTACAATCCTGGTTAACCTGAATATGGAGCCGTGGACAGGAACCATCAGATCACATTCAGCTAAACGGGACAGACACATTCAGAGCTTCTACATTCTCAGTCTGCAGCAGCTGTGCCGTTATCAGCCTCCCTTCAGTTCAACTCCTGACACTGTTCAACACACTGACTGCAGCCGACGTATCGCTTTAAATTCTGTTTGGATGTTCATTTTTAGGGTCCGAGGACCCTAGTAATAGGAATAAAGAAAGAAACATTACAGGAACATTAAAGCTGCAAGCAGCATTGGTCGGGTCCTCGGTCTGCGTTGGACCCTCATGCCCGTCTGACCATTCTTCAAGTTAAACCTGCTTTAAGTTGAAGGAGCCATGTTTCTGTCTCCTCTCAGCCTCAGCCTGTCAGTGAGTCACATGACCAGCTGCACTGAGCTGTGATGATGTCATCGTTCTTCATGTCCCTTGGTGGGAGAGCTGAGAGTTTTACTCACTTTAACTCTCCCATACAGCCACAATTTCCACCAAATGCGTGTAAAAACAACATATTTTTGTGGGAAATCTTGCTAGGAAGCCCTCAGTGTCAGTTTTAAAGCTGTAGGACCTTTAGTTTTTTGTGTAGATGACCAACTGACACAGCATGTCTGCATATGCCCCCATAGACAGCCATACAATGTATGAGCCGAGGCTGCGGCAGCTCATCAACTTTAACGGCTCGCCATTCAAAAACCGGTTGAGAAACGTCAAATCCCTTCAGAACTTTTGTACATCAAGGCCTTCTCTGTCTCCTGTGCGATTTTCAAGTTGGTACGATTTACGGTGTCAGACAAGATAATTTTTTCCCAAAAGAAGTTTTTGCTCATTTTTTTATTTTGAAAGGCAAATGGCGGACTTCCTGTTGGAGATAGGTCAGGGGTGTCAGCGCGAGATTTGTGGGTCTCATTGAGACGAACGTTTTGGTATTGGTTTGATCTCTGTGCGACATTTCTACTGGGCGCTAGGGCCATTTTAGTGTGTTTTTCTGTCACTAGGTGGCGCTAGAGAGCATTTTTATTTTTTTTCCCCATTTTTTCAAATTTTTCGCCGATTCGGACATGCGTGCCAATTTTGGTGAGTTTTTGAGCGTGTTCAGGGGGTCAAATTAAGGTTTTCGCGCTGGTCAGGCAAATAAGAAGAAAGAAAGAAAGAAAGAAAGAAACGCAGCAGGAACAATAGGGTCCGTGTCCTTCTGCTTGCTTTGCAAGTAGGGGTCCTCGGACCCTAATTAAAGCTGCAAGCAGCGTTGGTCGGGTCCTCGGTCTGCGCTGCCACCTCATGCCCGTCTGACCATTCTTCAAAACCCTTAATTAAACCCCCTACACACGCTCAAAAACTCACCAAAATTGGCACACACCTTCGAATCGGCGAAAAATTTGATAAAATGAAAAAAAACAAAACACAAAGCTCTCTAGTGCCACCTAGTTACAAAAAACACACTAAAACGGCCCTAGCGACCAGCAGGAATGTCGTACAGCGATCAAACCAACATCAAAACGTTCGTCTCAATGAGACCCACAAATCTCGCGCTGACACCCCTGACCTATCTCACGCAGGAAGTCCGCAATTTGCCTTTCAAAGTTAAAAAACGAGTGAAAACATCTTTTTGGAAAAAATTATCTTGTCTGACACCGTAAATCGTATCAACTTGAAAATCGCACAGGAGACAGAGAAGGCCTTGATGTACAAAAGTTCTGAAGGGATTTGACGTTTCTCAACCGGTTTTTGAATGGCGAGCCGTTAAATTTGATGAGCTGCCGCAGCCTCAGCTCATACTTTGTATGGCTGTCTATGGGGACATGTGCAGACATGCTGTGTCAGTTGGTCATCTACACAAAAAACTAAAGGTCCTACAGCTTTAAAAATGACACTGAGGGCTTCCTAACAAGATTTCCCACAAAAATATGCTGTTTTTACACACATTTGGTGAAAATTGTGGCTGTATGGGAGAGAGAAAGTGAGTACAACTCTCTAGTCTGTCAGCCAGGGACATGCTGAACGATGACATCATCACAGCTCAGTGCAGCTGGTCATGTGACTCACCATGTGACTCACCGACAGGCTGAGGCTGAGCAGACAGAGAAAAATGGCTCCTTCAACTTAAAGCAGGTTTAACTTGAAGAACGGTCAGACGGGCATGAGGTGGCAGCGCGGACTGAGGACCCGACAAACGCTGCTTGCAGCTTTAATTTTATTTGTTCTCAGACGGTTGAGACTGCAGGGCTGCAGCTGAAGCAAGACAAGTGTCTTTCAGAGGTCCCCAGCTCAGCAGCATGTTATCTAACGGAGCTGGTTTACAGTCAGATCCAGTTAGGGTTCGGGTCAGTCCTCATCATTCAGCAGCGGCATCAACAACCCTGCTAACATTCACTCTGAAGTGTTCTCCTGGTTCAGCTGCACAGGTGCTACTTACAGTCTGCATTCTGTGTTATAAGCTTCATATTTCTCTTTGCCTACAGAGTTTGTCCCTGCGGTGCCAGCTGACCGGTCCATGTCTGTGATTGGGCTTCTGTTGCCCCGCCTAGTCCAGCGAAGCGCTCATATCCAGGTTCAGAAACTCTAAGCAGCTTCAGAAGGCCTCTCCTCACCCTGGATATGTTGAACTTCTGCTACGACACCTGATCTAACAGCAGACTGGCTGGTTGGAGGAAAGGAGACGATCCTCCATATATCCCTGAACTCCTGAAGCTCTGATGCACTGCAGTCTCCAGCGGCCCAATCGGAGCGGACGTTCTCTGACTACTTACTGTTGGCTGTGACCTCGAAGCGCGGCCTTCCAGTCTGGTTGGAGGTCACGGTGGCGAGACGAGCTTCAATCAGTTCCCCGTCCACGAAGCTTCCATAGAGAGCCATGCGTCCGTCTGGGTAGATGTAAGCCACCGAGTCCCCGGTCATCTCGCCGTCCTCATTCACCCGGCCAAACACACAGCCGCCGTCCTGGACGCGCCACAGTACACACCAGCAGGACAACCACAGCGTCAGCAACAGATCACGTTCTCAAGAGACCTGCAGCTTACTACATGAAACCCGGTGATGGATCAAACACTGAGCTGACTCACAGGGTAGTAGGCCCAGCATTCCCCACAGCGGCTGTTGTCTTTGTACTGGCCCTTGAACACCAGCCGGCCCTCTCCATCGAACTCCTGAGCCGGCCCGTTCAGCTCGCCATCTGCATACGTCCCGTTGAGGACGCCTCCGTCTTCATACGTGTACACGGCCTGACCCTGCAGGGCGTCGTCGACGTAGAAACCCTCCAGGGCACTGCGGGAGAAGACGGGAAACAGCAGTTCAGGCAAAGCAACCAGTTCAAGGTTCATGACAGCAGCAGTCCTACAGCTGGACTCATGATGTGCTGCTGGAGCTTCACTAACGATAAGCACTGCAGATGCTTCATAACGAGCTCTGAGAACTTTCAAACGTGCTGGACTTAAGTGATTTCAACCCTCACCCTACAGAAAACATGTAAAATCTAAAGAGAAGAGAACAACTACAGCGCTGTGAATAAACTCATCATTTCTAGAAAAATCAATATTGAGTGTGAAACTCTGAATGTTTCAAGATTAAAGAGGTAATTCCTGAAGAAAACAGCCCTGACATTTAGGAATAAAGTCTGATTATTTGGTTTACATCCTGACCATTAGACAAACAGCTATTTCAGGAATTCAGTGGAAACGGAACGTTCCAGGAAAACAGCTTTGTTGTCTTCATTGTTGTGCATCTGAAGAATTCTCAGGACCTGCATGAATACGCTGGATGAGCTGCATGTACAGGTGCTACTACTTCCTGACAGCCTGCACCTTTACTTCTGGTGCTACTGGTGTCTGACTCCAGCGCCACCATCAGGTGATGCGTGGTCAACATCTGCTGGCCAGCACGATGAACACAGAACCTCCTCCCCATCACATCCACTGGGAGCCCCTTTAGGATCAGCTGTTTGGGCTTCAACAAGAGAAATCCGGTCGCTGCTTTGCCTCATGTGTCTGGTTTACTTCCCCACGTCCAATAAAATGCAGAGCACAAGAACTCAGCTGGTTTCTCTTTGCAAAGTGCACAAACAGAGTATTACCAAGACTCCAGCATGAAAGCTGACTCAGCGCAGCGCAGACAGACAGCCGGCTGCTTCACGTCACCTCCACATCATGAACTTTATCTCATCTGCCTGTCAGAAACCAAGTCTCCACCTCCCGTTTGTGGTTATGGTTAGGGTCGGTCCTGCTGCTGACAGTCCACTGGACTTTATCTGAAAGGTTCGCCTGGGAGAGCACATAACTCTGATAGTCAGATGTTGTCATTTAAACGTCTCCCATCTGTTTCCCTCATCTGACATGTAGAAGCTGTCAGAATATCTAACTAACTTCCAGATTCCAGAGTTTTATCGTCATATGCACAGCAAAGCAGGCAGTTATACCACACAATGAAATTCTTGTTCTGTTCAATCTCCCGAAAAAAGACGACACATTAAAATAAATAAAGCAAGCAAATGAGAACAACAATAAACAATTAAAAGCAACAATAAAGTGTTCGGTGTTATGAACATGTGCAGTGTGTGTGAGTGATTGATTGAGAAGCCTGATGGCCTAACTCACAGTAGAAATGTCTGATTCTTTCCCACCTGTGCTCCACATATATCATCTTGCATGCTTTCTAGTGCAGACACGGCTTCGACTGTCTTTACTGAAATGTGCTGCTCTGATGAACAGCCGTAAAAACGCATCCGTCTCGTCTGTAAAGTACCTTCCATCGAAGAAGAAGAACTTGCCCTTGCCATTCTTCTCTCCGTGGGTGAAGTGTCCTTCGAACCGATCGCTGGACGAGTAGGTCACTGTGCAGTAACCGTGTGGCTGACCGTCGTCATCCAACGGACCTGAACACACAGAAGAGCACAAATCTGTCAGAAGCCACCCAACGTCGTCTATGCCTTCATTCATTCTGCTTCTACTTAAATCTCCAGGAATCCTGCCCTCATGTTCAGTGATGTCCACCGGGTCAAAACCGTACAAATGGAGCAGACAGCAGAACAGTCTGTGGTCCAGCCGGCACTGATGAGCTGAATAACTGTCACAAGTACTGAGTCTCAGGTCTGGTGGACCCGTCTGCACTCAGGCCACATGTGTTCATATTCACTGTCTTCTAACTGTGGTTCAGTCTCACCGCCTCCAGAACCACCTGATCAAACTAAACAGTCAGTTGAGGGTTGTACGACCAAAAGATGCCAGAATGCTGGTTAGCTCCTGTGCAGGTCTTCATCCTCTGTGGATTCATCATGATGAGCAAACACATTCACATCATCTGATCAGAACAATGCACACTTCCATGTTATCAGTGTCCACTCGTCATCACACTGCGTGTTAGTAACGTCAGCCATGAGCGCCACATCGACACGGACACACAGAACTAGTTAGTGACAGGGACTAAAACATACATTCACTTCAGTAGGGGACGTTTGTAGGAAGTTCTTCACTGTTCAGCAGAAAATGTACTTTCTTCCCCAATACGTGTACTGTGTGTGTTAACGAGATGGATCCAGAACATTTAATGTGTAGTACAGTAACCCTACATGTGTACTGTCACTGAGTGCTGACTGTGGTACTGCAGTAAAACATGCAGTACTTATTCCACCTGTGAAAACAAGTTCAAACTCTACAAAGGATTAATTCTACGTGTTTAAAAGTCAAAGATGAAACAAACGTGGATATTTAACAGTTTGATAAACTTTGTACTTGAATGCTGTGTTAACCAGGTAACCATAGTAACCAGGTAACCACAGTAACCATCATAAGCTTTTAATTCTGAATCTAAGTGACTTTTTAAATCACAGAACATCGTTTAAGACAAACGTCGTTTTTCCTGAAGCTCCAGAACCTCCTCTTCCAACCAGGACCAGAACCTCCAGATTTAGCCACAACAACAGATTCTAGGCTAATTCCTCCAGAACCAAACAAAGATGGCGGCCTGTCCAGAACAAACCCTGAAAACGGCTCAACGCGTTCGAGTCGCTCGGTGCCGGTTCGTGTCCCGGACGGTCCAACCTGACGTTCTGATAATAAAACACGACATAACGACCTTGTTGTGACTCTGATTTACACAAACCACCGCTTTCTCTGTAAACTCACGTCTCCTCGAATAAAACCAACAACAGCAAAAAGGCGCTTTAATCCGCTGCTCCTGGATGCACTGTAATAACCCGAACCCGAACCCGAACCCGAACATGACTGTACAAGCTCAGATTTCATGCTTGCTCGGAAACTTCCGCCGGGACTCGGAGCTCAGCCAGGCCGCTTCCACTCGCCCGTCCGCCGGAGACCCGCTGAACTCCAGGCCGGGGCTCCCCCAGACACCCAGCGGCCCAGCCACGCTCTGACTCAGGGAGCATTTATGGACCCAGAACCTCCGAACTTCGGACAAATCTGATCCACACGTTCACAGTATCGGCGTTTGTACGTAAGTAGCGCACAGACGGACGGAACCGACCTTCCACCACCTCCTCCACGTTCTCCTCGTCGCTGTCCATGCTGCTGCCGGTGACCACACCTCCGGCTCCGGTCGCTCACCCGCCGGTTCCGGACTCTCCGCCCAGACCTGAGTCCCGGTGGCCAGAACCAACCACAGGCTGTACCATTACAACACATGTTTCTGGTGCAGCCTGTGCATCCGCTACGCTACCTGGTTGTTCAGGATCATGAGGAAGTTCTGGTTTCATTAAACCCTCACATCAGAAACGCTGCACAGGAAACGGTACCTGTGAATGGACTTTACATTATTAGATATTATTATGTATTATTCTACCAGACGCTTTCTGATCACTGTGTTTTATCAAAACGGTCAGCGGGCTTTTTTCCTCACATTTGAGGCTTTTTAAACAACAATATCTCAGGAACATTTAAAGATAAAAACCTGATATTTTCACTGTTATTTCTCATCATGTCATTGATTCAGAATCCGTAGATCCAGTGATCTGATTAGGTGTGAACTGACATATGAAAACAGTTGAATTCAGCTTGTGATATTTTATGCTCCACATGTGGCTGCAGGTCACAACAGTACAAACCGAACACATACAATTATTTAATATTAAAGACTTGATCACAAAATGACTTTTAAATTTTACTTGAACTTTCAGAACTGATTAATCAGGTTTGACAAGTCGTACCACGACAACAGAAATATTAGTAGATCATCTGATCCCAGTAGAACAGAGTCCACGGGCCTCATTTAGCATCAGTGCGTAC